GGGGTGAGGCGGCCCCGGGGAGCTGCTGCCGCCGCCCGTGCGGCCCCGTGCCCAGCGGGCTCGCCAGGGCTGCACCCACCTAGAGCAGAAGGGCCTCTGTTGCTTCCTCAGGCTGCGGGCTGAGCGACCGGTGTGGGGGTTTGGTTTGTCAGCTAACAGTGATGTGCTGGAGAAGAGAAAGCAAGTGGTCGGTTCTCAGCACCCTAAGATTGCAGCTAACCGGAGTATTCTAGTAGTAAATTGCAATGGTTGGGTGTTCGTTCTTAGTAAAGTGGTTTAGGCTGTCACCTGTTATAGGCATAACCTTTGTTGTCAACCCTAACATAACAGAGGACTGAAAGGCCTATGCCCCTGCTTGGGAAAAGGGAGATGCTTAATTCCTGCATCTTTCAGTGGCATCTTGGGCAGGTTGCTTCCTTTGTCTGTACAGTTTTGTGGAGAACAACTGCATCTTTGCACGTGTGAAGGTTATCACTAGGGTGGAGAGAACTGTGAGATCAATGCGCATGAGGATGGTAGTCATTTAGTCCTAAGTATGAATATGTGTTTTGTTCCTAATGCTCAGTGTCTTGAATGGTTACCTTGAGTCTAATTTGTTTGGGGTTTTTTACTGTTTCTCTGGCTCTTAAGGTAAATAGCTTCTAATCGAAGGAGGGCAGAAGGAGGCAGCATCTCTCAGGGGCAGAAGGGAATGGATGCAGAAAGAAAGACATCTGGTGGAGAAATCTTGATATGAATAATATTTTTTTCTTGGAAGAAGTTCAGATCTTATCTAAGATACATCCTTCTTTAAGAAGGAGGGGCTTATTTTCTCCACAATAAAGTTGCAGTCTGCTCTGGTTTTAAGTATTCAGTTATGATTCCAAAAGTTTTAATCAAAATTAGTAATTCAAGGTATTTGTGTTTCCTTAATTAATGTTTAGTTTGTGTTTTTGTTTGGTCAGAGCTGAACATCATCATTACAACAATAAATAAAACCCTCTCAGCAGTACTGCTAAACTGTCAGGAAGCCAATTCTCATTTCTGTCAGTAAAATGTAATGAATTCTTACTTGGAGTGGGACACAGGAACTGTGAAGGAAACTATATTCATCCTAGTGTCTGAGTGTGTGTATAGGTAGCAAAACAAGGGACTTTTTAAATAAAAGCCTTTTTAAATTATTTTTTTTAAATAGTAATTTGCATTAAATAATATTTCTTTACCAGCTTTCTGCCTTCACCCCCCCAGCATGCTTTTCTGTAGTATTTTGCTGACTGTTAGATAATGAACACTTTTGACTTAATTTTATTTTGTTGGGATTTAGAACTTGTTTATTGATATAGCTGTAAACTTGTAACTTTCTAGAATTAATGTATTCTTGGTCTTTTGCTTACATAACTATGCAAGTGGATTTTCTGGTTTTGCTTCGTGTAGCCTCATGGGGTTTTTTCAATGGATTATGGTTACAACATTTTTGTCAAGTCAGTAGTTCTGCTTATTTAAAATTACCTATTTGATTTTTGAGTCATAGAGAAGGCATTTCTTAGGTCTTACAGTTCTTGTGTTTATGTTATACTTTGCAGTAGTAACATTTTCTGGGTTGTTCTAACTGTAAAGCTAACCTTGCCTACTTTGCTGATCTTGAACTTTTATTTTTTAAAAAGTCTAAGGAGATGTCACAAGGCTTGTCTGAAGGAAAAAAAAAAAAGCTGGTTTTGCTTTACGTGCTGTGATGATTCTTTCATCTCTGACTTTAAGAAGCTGGGCGGAGTTTCCTGGTGGATAGCCCAAGCAGCAACCAGT